GGTTGTTAACCAATGTCATAAAACAATATGTGTACTGACTGTTTAATGAGAAACTATTTGTTCTGTAAACCTTCATCTAAAGTACAATAAAAAAAATTTTTTTTAATGGTAATTTTTAAAAAGGCACTTAACAAACAACAAAACACTAGATAAATATATATCATTATGTTGCATACAAATTTTAAAAAAGATACATTTCAGGGACTGAAAGGGAAACCGTCAAAACACATGGCCTTGGCACCAGATAGATCTAGGCTCAAATCCAGCTCTGCCATTAATAGACAAGTTTCTTAACCACTCTAAGCCTCAATTTCCTCATTTAAAAAACTGAGAGGTTAACAGGAATCAATTTCACAAAGTAGTTGGAAAAATTAAATGGGATAAAGCTTACAAAATATTATCCTTGATAAATATTAAAACCTCAATAAATTTTAGCTATTATTATTATTTAAGATTTAGCAACAGTATATGACAACCAAGTTTTTAAGACTAGTACTACTATTTTTATTCTACAGATATCATTCCTATAAATGAAAACACCTCTTCTAAAGAAATTGTATTACATGAATAATTATAATTATTTTAATGATGGCAAGGTTTCCTACAGATGACAGAGTTTGCACAGAAAAAAAGGTGTATATGAGAAATGACAAAAGTCAACTGGCTGGATGTTCAACTGAATTTAATCATAATGCAAAATAACTGCTCTCCAATTGATAAGAAAAACTAACAAGTCTCATTTTCTAAATATTTTGAAGGGCTCACACATTTCAGAAGAAAAGCTAGAAGTTTCTCACTTTATTTCCCCCGGATATAAGAAAAGTCACTAACAACCAACAACAACCTAAGAAAAATAGCTACATATTACCTTAATTGTGTATTAAATGTAGGTGGGCGATCTTGCATATATGAGTAAACTACTTCTTAATCTGAATTTTTTAAATTGTACCATTAGGGAGTGATGTCACACAAAATGCCAGAGTAAGACGCTTTAGGGGTCAGCTCCTCCACCAAAACAACCATTAAACTGGAAAAAAAGACTACCATAATCATTTATTTTGGAACTCTGGAACCTGATCAGACACTTGTATCGACCAGGGAAGTGGTTGATGAAAGAAGAGGCTGCTGATATTTGGTAAGAGAGCAGTTGTATGAACCAGCTACCATCCCACAAACCTCAGACCCACCGCAATCATGGGAATAAGACAGTATTATGGACGGAACTGTGTCCCCCAAAACCATGTGTTGTAAATCCTAACCTCTATCTCTGTGGTTATAATCCCATTTGGGAATGGATTGTCTTTGCTATGTTAATGAAGCAGGATTAGTGTAAGGTGTGTTTTACAAGCCACATGAAGACTGCCCAAGAGCAGAAGCTCAGAAAAGACAAGGACCTTCCTCCAGAGCTGACAGACAGAGAAAGGCTTCCCCTAGAGCTGGCACCCTGAATTTGGACTTCCAGCCTCCTAAACTGTGAGAAAATAAATTTCTGTTTGTTAAAGTCACCCACTTGTGGTATTTCTGCTACTGAAGCACTAAAGAACTAAGACAGACAGACAGATAAATGGTTCAATCCATCTGATGATATAACAATTATAACAAATAAACACCGAACAACAAACTATATGAAGCAAACATTGACAGAATTGAACGGAGAAATTTAGACAGTTCCACAATAATAGTTGGAGTCTTCAATACTCCATTTTAAATAATGGGTAGACAGAAGATCAGTAAGGAAATAGAGGGTGTCAACAACACTATAAAACTATTAGACCTTATAGCCATATATAACCAAAACTAAACCCACTGCCATAGAGTCGATTCCAACTCATAGTGATGCTATAGAACAGAGGAGAATTGCTCCATAGGGTTTCCAAGGCTGTAATCTTTATGGAAGCAGACTGCCACATCTGTCTCCTATGGAGCAGCTGGTGGGTTCAAACCGCTGACCTTTCCGTTGGCAGCTGAGCACTTTAACCACTGTGCCACCAGGGATCCTTTACAACTATATACAGAACTAAAATTCAATAACAGAGGAAAACAGAAAATTCACAAATATGGAAATTAAACAACACACTTTTAAACAGCCAGTGCACCAAAGAAGAAATCAAAAGGAAATTAGAAAATACCTTGAGACAAATGAAAAAAAAAAAAAAAAACTTACAGGATACATCAATAGCAAGTTGATACTAAAGTTCATATGGAAAAATAAACATGAATAAATTCCTAAAAAGAAAAAAAATCCACAATGGG